CTTCTCCAAAAGATAGTGGAAGCAGTGTATGAGAAAAAACATTATGTCCATCAATTCTTATGCCCTGACTTTAGGAGGTATACTCTCAAGTTGTTTAGTTAGAGGTTATCAAATAAGACAAATACTAATACTTTGCACTTCTTCCTTTTTTGAAAAGTTGAAAATCTAACAGGGAAAACATATTAAATAGTACTCCCTTAGTCCGAGTATTTCATTTTTCACCAATATTTGCTTCTATGTTTTCATCTCACTATCTTTGTTTCTCGCTATATTTAGAAACATTTATGTGACTCATACTCCATACTCATTCAAACATTTTCTTAGTTTTTAGCCTCAATATCATAAACATAATTCTAAATTTTGAGTTTGTGCATCACATCCTCATGTCCCGAAAACAATGGGACAAAGGTACTCAAAACAATTAAACAAAAAGTTTAATGAAGTAACTCGGGGTCGGCTACATGAACTAAAAAAAAGATAATCACGTTTGGTCACTCTAACAACTGATTTCTATCTGTTTCTTTCTTTCTTTTGATCTTCACAAATGTTCAATGGGTCAAGTAGGAAGCTTTACTTGCCAAGAGCTCTTTTGTCTTTCTGTTGGGGAAGTTTCATTGACAGTATTTAAATTTGTTGTATTTGAATCCAAACATCTTTTGTATCTCCTTTGACAGCATTTCACATCTTCCTATGATAGAGTAATATAATAATAAAAATAATACTCAGTATATAACACTAACAATTAAATAAACCACAAGAAAAGGGATTTCAATTACCTTCTGCATCGCGAGATGCCTTTGAACGGCAGGCAGGACGAGATCCTGCGTTTTAAAGAAAAAATGGAGAGGCTTGAATAACACAAAATATTTGTACCCAAAAAAAACATAAAATCAAAAGGACAATTAATTCTAGCACAATTAGGGATGAAAACCCTTTGTTTAAATGAAAATTTTCTCATGTTCCTAACCTCCTCCTCCTCCTCCTCCTCTGCCACCGGAGAAGCCCCTGCGACCCATCTATGCGAAACAAAAGGCAGTTCAGGTTTGATGGAAAATTAGTACTCCCTCGTTAGGGCACAATTCGGTAAACGGACCTAATCCTGCACAAACCAAAATTTTGGTATAAACCATACCCAATCGATTAATTAGAGTTAGATATTCCATACAAACATAATTTCACCGAAATTTTGGTTAGGTACAGTTTTACTGAATGAACTACTCCCTTAATAATTTGATTGAAAAAAATTAAAGTTAGATAAATACTCAGAAAAAAATACTAATGCTCATGTCTCGCATTATTTAAATATACTTCAATTCTTAAAATTTGTGATATTGTATTTCAAGAATACATTTTGTTTATTTTGGCAATAGGGTTGACACTTCATTTACTTTCACAAATAGAATTATTTTATTAGAATATAATAAAATAATCATTATCAAGTTTAAATTTAGTATCTGACAAAATAAAAAAACTTAGAGTT